TGTCAACCGTTGATTGTCGTGAAATAAAACTCTGGCCTTTTCTTGCTAGTGCTGAGTGCAACGACTCAAATTTTCCAACGCCCGAGTAGTGGTACCGATTGTTTACGTTTCATTCAGAAGGCGAACAAACTCACACACACTATACACATTCCGTTTAATTTAGATATTATTTATTTTATATGTGTTATTGTTTATTTCAAATGACTTGTTTTTTGCTGAGCATGCTCTAACTACTCCAAAGTTTCTGTGTGAACATGAACTCCGCTAAATGCTTGCGGTCATTTCTTTTTGGTAATTGGAAGAACGCTATAAATAAATTATTAATTAAAGCAATATCGCTTACTCAAGTTAATGGGCGCCGAAAAGAACTCGGCCTGTTGTCTACAAGGCTATTATTTCTAACGAGTGGAAGCTTTTTGCTTGCAACATTTTAATATGTTCTAATGCTCCTTCAATATTGGGGAGAAGGCTTTAATTGCTTAGCACTAAAATTCTTGATTTGCTTATATAATGCTAGGTAGCCTTGTGTGCAGGGTATATTTTTGGTGTGATTGAAATTAAGAGGGAAATGAGCTTAGTAGCAAAAATTAATCACTCACCGTTCGCTTGTTTGTTCTCATATTACTGGAAATGTAAAGAAACCGACGTCTATGTAAACGAACAGAAATAGACATGCCCAGTAAGAAAAACCAGTAAAACCAAAAGGTGGAGAATTGCAATAAAAAGCGAATAAAAAAAGGTGAGAAAGCGTATACTATATGATTAAAGATGACTCCAACTGGTCATTTTAAAAAGCGCGCAAACCTAATCGATAAACATTTTTTTGCTAAATTTGTATAATTATATTTATGTTCATGTGAAAGGCGAACTCTATATGTCAATAAGTGGTTGTTTGACGCGAGAAGTTTGTCAACGATTTTTATTAGGAAAAATATTGCACAACGAGTTTGCTTGAAATTTTGTGTTTCCAATGGCATCACGGCAACGGAATCCTTGAAAATATTGCAGAAGTGTTTTGGGGAGAAGTGTTTTATAGGTGACAAGACGTGCGTTTTTGAATATGACGTTGAAACGATTCAACAATTTTGCTAATGCAGTCCGGGTTAAATTTGATCAGAAGGTATAACTTAAATTCTTCGAATGTGCTAGTCTACTCGTAAAAGCTTGTTTACTTATTTTTATATGGCTTTTGACATATTTCGAGCCATCAAAATCAAAATCATGATTATAAACTTCATTACAAATTATGGGTTCTAAACTAGAGTATTTTCGGTACTACAAACCTACTGTAATCATAGTAAAGAGCGAATATTATATTCTTAGGGCTATAAATGAGAGGTTTCTACGTCATCAAAGCTGAACATCACAATCGATCAAACATTTCTATTTCTTCACAAAGGTTCCAAAAACATTTTAAGAAATTTTACATTTTGCCCGCCTACGGGATCGCTATAACATTTTAAACAAAGATACAATTTCTATACCCATACCAACAAGAAATGTTGAATACTTACTGGCTCTGTAGAATTCAAGTTTTTTTGTTTTTGCAATAACTGCATCTGTGTAAAATACACTGCAGATTATTCCGCCAATATCCGGCGGAGAATAGTGAACCGAATTTCCTTAAAGAAATATCAATTGAAAAAACCTGATGTAGCAAGCCAAAGAACAGGTGGTTTCTGATGTCATACATACTTACAAACATCAGGTTATGACGTGCTTCGTACTTTCTTATATTTTTGCCGATTTTTGTTAGTGGTTGACTTGTGTTTCGCTGGCAATTCGCGCGCTACTAATTTGTCTATACTCAAATCTAATAAGGGAATTGTAGTCGGAGTCGATTATTAAATTAACGATGTCTGCGACGTTAATCCGCATTTTAATAATCACGACGGTTAATATATTTAGTATTTAATTAGTTTGGTTTGCGTTTTAGGCAGTGCGATGGGAAATCAGATGTATTATTATTAAATTTGTGATTTTATATATTAAATTGCTGAAAGAAATGGTCGCTTCTTGTGGTAGATATATATTTTTTTAGTTTGAAATTTAAATTTTTTTTTGTAATGTTGGCATGTGATTTACTCAATTTCATGTTACTATGTATTTCATTTTCGTTTTTGTATAGCTCTGCTTTCGCTTCCTTTATTGTACCACCCCTTTTATATGTATGTATATATGTGTAAATATATATGTATTAATATTTTGGCATAAATTCGGCAGACAGACCCACCGAAAACAAATTTTGTTTGCAAACATGTTTGTCAGCCAATTTCTAGCTGAAGTCTTGCTTTTATATTAATGACATACACACTTTTATGTTAATTATCATACCGTATCATAACATATAATATTAGGTAGGTCAAAGCGTTTAAGCTCAATTCGCTTGAGTCTCACATATTTAAGCAAACAGTCCACTTTTGATATTTTGCACTAAATTCATGGTCTCAATGTCCCCACGTAAAGACCCATGTACTTGTATAGTGTGTGCTATATTTGTTTGCGCAGCTATTATCAATACATTTACCAATTTGCATTTGCGACCGCTACAGTTGGAACGTTTGGCCAGCGTTGTTTGCTTTATTTCCTCTCTCCCCAATCCGAAGCATTACTGAGACTAATACAGTGATTTGGCTTCTTTCCGGTCACTTTCATTGTGGTTTTTAACTTTTCTTTATTTGAAGAATCTCACAGAAGGCGATAACAAGTAAGAAAGCCTCTCAGATTGAAATGTTGAAACAATTTAAGAGTTATTCAGATAAATATTCGCCAATTGACGTCAGCATTTTTGTTAATCTAGTTAGAAACAGTTATTAATTATAAATTTACCGATTATAAGTATACGGTGTACCAGCTGATCAAATTTGACCCGGACTGGCAATACAAATATTTATTATCGCCTTCAAAATAGGCGCCTACGCCAATACAAGTTTGCCAACGCTTAATCCAATTTTCCATGCAATTGCTCTAAGCCGGCTGACCCAGTGCGGATCAATTTTGATCAGTTTTTAAACAAACCAGTCTATATCAAGCTCATCACAATCACACTCTTCCTGACAATTGAATTTTCATTTATCATTTAGCGCTGCATTAATGAAAGCATTGTTAGTCTAATTTTGAATTGACTCGTCAAGAGTGTTATAAGTCCTATAATTGTAGTGATAATACCGTTTTAAGCGCTCTCTTACGTATGTAGCTTTGTAAATCAGGCTATTAATAAGGTAATATGTTATCTAACAAATAGCCGCTGACTTTAAATAATAAAATTTACTGTCTACCACGTGTTGTCAATAATTCATTCAACACACACACACACACATATCGGCACATGCGTTCAATGTATACTTGCATACATTTGCATATTTGAATACTACCGATACCGACTGACAATAGCCTTCTCAACTCCTCAGCTGCACCGGTGCAATATGTAACAACAACGTAGATAATAGTAAAACTCAATATTGGCTAGAATGATTGTTGGGTTGATGGGCGTGAGCTTTCATAAGCTGCACGACATGCCCTCAACACTATGCGCGTACATATGTACATATGTACCTGTGTATGTATGTATATATATGTGCTGGATGAAATAGCGACTTGTTGCCAATCTATTGATAAATAAATAAGCGACCCATGCATATATAAATATACACTGCACAGGTAGAGGAGACAGTCTATGAATAAACAACACTGGCACCCAACAACCGCCCGCCATCAACCAGCTGACTTGGGGCATTTTGAAAACAAAAGCGAAATAAATATGGAAGCTGCAACTGCAACTGGCGCTTTTGTTGAGGCATAATGCAGAATTAAGAAAAGAAAAGTGACGGGGGAAGGGGGAGTTCAATGAGCGAGCTTACATATGAACGCACATATATGTGTTTGTGTTAGTTTGTGTTTTTGTGGCATAATAATCGTGGCTAAGTTGTGTACTTGTATGCTTGTGTGTATGTGTGTGTGTCACGCTTTTATATGACGTGTCTTATTCTATTTCCTTAAGTATAAATGAGCACTGAGATCACAATAGTTGAACTTCAGCTATTTTAATTATTTGAATTGCGTGTGTCAGACGTCTAAACATGAAATGCGAAAATTCATTTGCACAAACACTGTGCAACAAAGTTATTAAAGCGAAAACATTCTTTAGCGCAAATGTCTGAATGTGTTTTCTTTACAAATTATTTTCAATTTAATAAAAGTGGACTTGAAGGTTTAACAAAAATTACAACTAATCAAGTTTATTAAGCAATAAATTTACTGTTGTTTGTTGATTATTGTATAAGTCGTAGATTTTGAAGTAAACCAAACGAAATTGTAATAAAGTAACCAACAAACAGTAGTTTACATGACCCGTGATATTATACAACGTTGCTTTGAAGTTTAAAATAAAGCTTTATTGTTTAAAAATTTATACTAAATACTTTCTATAGGCGTCTATTTAGATTCGTTGCAAGTGGCTTTGCATAACGGAAACTCAGTTAAATATACTATACTATAATTAGTCTCCATCAACAGCGCTAACCAAAACACATTTGTACCGAAAAAAGCTATTGTATTTCGTTTTCAAAAATAGCATTGATTACTTTTTATATCCTGAACAAGTTGCTTCTGCCTGTATATACGCGATGTTAACGTTTTTCCTGTTTTTTTTGCAAAAAGAAGCAACTAGTTTCAAGTAAAGAATATTGTTATGCCAACGAACCAAACGGTCCAAAGAATTATTTCGTTCTCATTCGCCATAACCTTAGAAATTTTAACAAACATACAGGAACTTCGCCTTAGGCAATGCAAACTCGGCTATTAATAGTCGACGCCTTAACTTAGTTATTATATTTTTTTATTTAATAAAGTCGGCTGTATTATATTGAAACCACTAATACCGCATTTTCACGTAAAAAGTTTTAAAGTGAAAAAAAAAATGTAATTTCATGTTTTAATATGCTCAACTTAATATCCCTAATTTATTTCGTTCTTTTGCTCCTTTCAATTACGACGTGCAGAAAGAAAGTTCAGCGCATAAGACAACGGGAATAGTGCCTTTTTACACCGCTTGCTGGCGCAGAAAAAAGGTAGACATCATCTTCTGCTTTCGCATCGTTCCCAAACGCTTGATGGCATCTGTTCGCTTTGCCACAATAAAACAAGAAAAAAACACCACTAGAGATATAACGCAAAAACGCTAATAACATTTTGCCAACAGCAACCATAGGTCGCATTTAGCGCATCCGCAAATAATCAAAAATTGGCAATTGGCATATTCAACTTGACGCCCACTAAAGATCGCTTAGTTGCACATCGCCCACCAGCTTAGCTTAACTACATTCACCTTTTGCCTAGAACGCCCACATACAAACATATGCATCTTTTCTTCTTCTTCAGCTTTTTATACATACACTTTAATTTTGACTGCAGCCTAGCAGCAATTTCTCAATGGCGCAAATAATACGCGCTTCTCAATGCATTTAGTTTTAGTTGAACTCGAACCGTTTAAAGTTTTTTACTCCAGCTGCATCAACAATGCTTAGTCGCACAATTGCAAACTTAATTGACGCGTTTTTGGCGGGTGTTCAATGGAAATTGTCATTGTCATTTTAATTCATTTTTCCTATCGCAGCTCATCTTATTCGGCGGCAAATGTGCATTACAATTCATTTTTATTGATTTCCACAAACATTGACGCTACGCGATGAAACGTTCTATTGATTAGGTCGACGGCTACGTCTTTGTTTTCATAAGTTCATTCGTTGCTTGCTTTATTTACTTGCTTTTATTGAAAAAAATCATTGGCGGCACTTTCGAATCATATTCCATTTCCCCCTTTCGCTTGCTTTGCTATAAATTTTCCGCACGATTCGTTATGTAAAATATTGACGAAATTTTTTTTAATGCAAATGCTTAACTTATTACTACATAGTTCTTCTAGTTTGTCTAGTACTCGTAAATATATAGATACGAGCGTATATGCCAACATTTCATTCAGTGGCTATAGAAAAAATCCAATTTTATTATTTCGTAATCTATAAACGTTTATTCATTCTTGCTTAATTTCTTAGTATTGACCCGTAAAAGTCAACCAGTTTTTATGCACAAACATTGCCAAAACCAGTTTCAGAGTTATTATTTCCAGTATATGGCAATAACATGTGCACAATTCATTCTTAAGTTTAGCTCTATATAACCATTAAAAATACCAAATAACTTAACTAATTGCCTTTTCTTATTTCCATTTACTTCCTGCCTACATTCCACTTCGGTATAGGCGAACAAAAACGCCGCTGTGTCCATATCCACAACCGCCGATCGCGTGCCACCCATCGGCAACTACCAGTGGCCGGCTGACCAGACACCTGGCGTTATGGGGCTCAAAAATCATGGCAACACATGTTTCATGAATGCAGTGCTGCAATGTCTCAGTCACACAGACATACTGGCGGAATATTTCGTTTTGGATCAGTACAAGGTGAGTGGTGTGCCGAAGCAGCGACTTTGTAAACTACTTGTTATTTCTTAATCACTTATTATTTCATGTTTATGTGTATTTCTAAATTATGTAATTTAATTTTTAAGGCCGATCTAAAGCGACGCAACAAAATCAATTCACGCAAATTTGGTACCAAAGGAGAACTAACCGAACAACTGGCAAATGTGCTAAAGGCGCTATGGACATGCAAGAATGAGAGCGATCACAGCACGAGTTTTAAGGTGAGTCGTATTGTGACAACAACTGCACACACACACTAATCTGAATCGCATTTTCTTATGCAAATAATTTGCTTGCAGGCTGTTGTAGATCGCTATGGTTCACAATTTCGTAGCTCAACACAACATGATGCTCAAGAATTTTTATTCTGGCTGCTGGATAAGGTGCACGAGGACCTCAATACGGCCACGAAACGGCGTTATAAAAGTGTAAAGGTGCTTATATTACCTAAATTTAGTTTAATAATTTATTTCATGCGAGTTGGTAAAAAACTATTTCTTGCCTGGTTCTGAAAACTAAATGAAAATAGAAAGTAAAATTAGCCAAAATTACTCGCGTCTATAAGTGGTGTGCTTGCATTGACAACATTTACTTCACTTCTTTTTTATTCTTTATTAATGAAAGTGATATCTTTTGTCAAAAACTAATTTCAATTTCATTATTAAAGTGTCGGTGATCGGAGGATGTGAGCTATTTCCTATTTTTCACCCAGCTTAGTTTATGAGCATCGCGCAAGCATTACACTGTTTATTATCTACTGAATTACTGTGTGTGCAAGTAGTTATAAAATACACAAAAAATCGCCATCAATGACTTTCTCTACCTTCCCAGAACCTGTGCGTTCATAGAGGAACATATACATGTACTTATACGGTATTTAGAAGGCATTTTATAATTGGTGAAATTGCGATGTTATTGTTGTTCGTCAAATGCACCGGTTGACCGACGAATAAATGGCAACCAGGCAGAATGTGGCAGTTAATTTTACAATTCTTATTTACATTCATCGTAAATTGGGCATTTATATAAATGTCAACAAGTGGGAATGCAATGTGCAGTGAAAAGAGAAAAGGCTCTGTTCCAATATTCCCGGCGATGCTTATGTAAACAAAAGCCAATTGCTGAAGTATGTTTATTAAAAATATTTGTGAACGCACACATATAAGTCGATTGCGCTGTAGCTGTAAGTATTTCTACGCGTGCTCTTGATTTATTATTATTTTCGCAAAGTGGAAAGATACAATTTACTTAGGCTTGTTTAGATAAGATAAACTAAAAAAAGACGACGGAGGCAATGATAGCGCTACCGTCGGTGAGATATTGGACAATAACTTATGAAAAGTTATTTACTAGGAAACGATTTTTGGTGGCATTTTGAGTGTTTAAAACAGAGTATCTTTATGTTCAACAATTTGTAATTATATAATAATCTAGATATGCGCATAATGAGGGTTGCAAATAATGCATTCAAAAATAATTTTATTAACATTTCAATTAATTTTTTTTTTTTTTTTTGTAATACCAAAAATCTTAATTAAAGTTAATATTTAAATTTTTAATCCCAAATAGCGTATAGACAAAAAATTAATCCTAAATACCGAAATAAAAACATAAAAGATTTGTAATCTTAAAAATCAAATACGAAGCTTAAAAACAAAATTATTCCCTTATGTTTAAAATATTAAAAAGTAATTTATTAGAATATATATTTTGTGTACTTCGTGTTTAATTTTTAATAAAATTTCAACATAGTTTAGTTTTTTCGACTTATTTATAGTTAACTGCCTTTAATTATAGTATTTCAGTTAGAACTGTGTAAATCTTTCCTTTTTATCCCGATTTTAATTTGTAAAATTGTTTTTTATTTATTACTCCAAATTTTAAATTAAAAAAATAGTTTCTCAATCTTTAATACAAGATGTTTGTTAAATATTAAATTTTCATTTCCTATTATTAAATTAAAAATCCAATATGTTGAGTATTAAAAATTTTAAATATAATCAAATTCAAAAATTTCAACATCTTGGAATTTAAATTTAAAAACTCAGTTATTCATCTCAAATTAAAAATTTAATTAAAGCAACTTGCTTCATGATCTTTCTTACGGATAAATAAATGTATAAATATGTAAGATAAGCATTAGGGAACGCGTACGTATCGGTCCAGTTAAATTAGCTGTAAAAAAGCGCTCGGGTAAAATTAAATATAATGTATAATAAACGTAAATACCAAGTTACCATCAGTTACATTAAAATCGCCAAATCTTGTAAATAATATTATCGTATTCTTCAAAACCATATTTGGAATTTTAATTTTTGCATGTTCTTTCTTACAGAACTCATACGGCCGCCCGGATGAGGTTATCGCCGCAGAAACTTTAGCCAACCACATTCGCTGCAACAATTCGTTTGTGCAAGCGGTATTCCAAGCACAATTCCGTTCGTCTCTCACATGTCCACGCTGTAAAAAACAGTCAAACACATTCGATCCGTTCCATTGCATTTCGGTGCAGCTACCGCAATTAATGCAGCAAACGATTTTCGTCACGGTAGTGTATTTGCAGCGAGACCCGCGTCAAGTGAAGATCGGTATTAATGTGCCTACTGGTTCGCCAATTGTCGCTCTACGCGATCAATTGCAGGCTGACACTGGCATTCAGGGCAAACACATGGTATTAGTTGACATCAGCAAAGAGGGTTTCACGCGCGTTTTCTACGACACACAACCGGTGGCAACACTAAGTGGCATCGAATCAATTTATTGCATTGAAGTACCCGAAACAAAGGTCACATCAACAGCAATAACAACAACAGCGACAAAAGTGGACACTGAAAATGGTGACACAAGTCGGAGCGGCAACCCCAATCCCAATCAAAGTACAGCGAAAAATACTACATCTACGGAGGTTAACAAAAACAGTTCGACAGGCAACACTGCCAATGCAACCACAAATGGTGCTAAGACCACAAACACTTCGTCTACTGCCAATTTAACTAATGAACTACTCTTGTTAGTGGCGAATGTGCGTAAACCCAAAACGGATCTTGAAAATAAAGAGACACCGAATGGCGATAACTCGCATACACAATCCGTGGAACGTTTCGGTATGCCGTTCAGCTTGCTAACAACCCGAGATTGCTCTTATGTTGATTTACAAAAGCGACTATTACGCGAAATGACGCCCTTACTGAAACCTGAAGTTTTCTCGAGTGGTAAACCGAAGAGCGATATGTTTCAGATACGTCTACAAGATCCGTCCGCAGATCCAGACACATATTTACAGAATGTTGAACATCCGCTGCTAACAGAGATGATCGACTTGGCACTATCTGTGCTTTCATCTGATGCTGGACCACCGCATATAAAACTTTTACTAGAATGGACTGAGCCGGAAGAGTACTTTGTGGATCTCAGTGATCAAGTGGTCGAAGATGAAAGTGTGGCACGTTTGCTCGATGTTGGAAAACTGAAAACCACGAAAGACACGTCAGTACTTACTTTAGAGCAATGCCTTGAGCACTATACCAAAGCAGAAACGCTGAGCGCCGAAGATGCTTGGCGCTGTCCACACTGTCAGCAATATTTACCGGTTGTGAAGACACTCGGTCTGTGGTCGTTACCCGACATTTTGGTCGTGCATTTTAAACGATTCCGACAGCATCACGAAAAAGGTGCCAATGCAGCTAAACTTACCACGATGGTGAAATTCCCATTGAATGCATTCGATATGTCTCCACATTTAGTGCGAGGTGTGGAAGATGAGAATGGTCCGCGTACAACGCTTAGTGCTGCAGCTGCCATGGATAATGGACCGTTTTCTCGATCAAATCCATGGAAAAAACCTCGACCTGGAGATTCGCGATCCTCAACACTTAGTTCACGTGATAACCGAGAAACCCGTTATGATTTGTACGCTGTATGCTATCATCAGGGGGACACACTCGAAACGGGTCACTACACAGCCGCATGTAAAAATCCATACGACAGACAATGGTACAAATTCGATGATCAACGGGTCTCTAAAGTACCCAATACATCAATCGAGGAGGAGATTATTAATAATGAGGCTTATATGTTATTTTATCAGCGTCGCGTCGGAGATGCAGCTGAATGCTCTGGCTCTAGTTCGAATTCAGGCGATCATTGGGTCTCTCGAATCGCACCACCACCGAATATGACAGTTGTTGAAAAGATAAGTGCTGCCGAGGAGAAAGTTATCGAAGAAGATATATCCGACGATCGAAAGAATATTGATGTGGTCGCGACCACTGCTATAATAGAGCCATTAAAAGGAAGAACAGAAGAAAAACCAATTGAAATACCTAAAGCTGCACTTGCAAATGACACCATTGTCGAAGGTAATAAAGCTTTGATAAATTATGCATTCTTTTTTCTAATACGCTTTATTTACAGTGAAAATAGAGACATCCCCGATGGTTGTGAACAATGAAAATATTTCGGTCGATATGGAAACTCTAGAATTTGCTGATTCAGAATCTGTTGCCCCAGACGATGATAGCATCGCTGTGGCCACAAATGCAGTCAGCGCATTGAAAGCGCTCAATACACTTACACCAAATAAAATAGTAGAAAATCCGAACATTGTTGGCGAAAATCAGATCTTTGCCATGGATGAAGACTGTCAAATTGATGAAAGCCAAGCACATGAAACGACAGTACCCGCCACTCATATTGCAACCACGCTAATCAAGTCACAACAATCGCCCTCAACGAAGGCTGTGGCAGATGCAACGGCGGAGCCAGCAGTTTCTTCCATAGCGCCAAATAAGCCTGCTGCAACCACAACGACTAAAGTATTAACTAATGGCTACGCTGCAGATGCCTCCAAATCGCCAAATCAGAAGTTGAACATTACGCAACCGGTTGTAAATGGTAAACCGAAGAGTCCCGCAACATCTGCCGTAGCAACAACAACAATACCTGCCGGTATTAATGGCAGTCGCGTTAGAAATTCCTCAACATCTTCCTCCAGTTCTTCCTTGTCGTCACACTCATCGCCACACTCGCTGGCCGTTTCCATACATGGCGCATCCACATTGCAAAACAAGTTCAACGGCTTTACAACCACATCAGCGACAGCGAGTAGTAACTACAAAGAGGTTTTGCTCTCAAGTAGTCTGAAAAGTAACAGTAGCAGTATTATTAGCGCTGCTGTGGCAGCGCACACAGCTCACGAATTCCACCTAACACGCCACCAGCCATGGAATGGCAGTCGTTCGAGTGTTTCTGCGTTAGAGAGCGGAACACAGACAAGCAATCATCAACATATGCATGGACTCAATTTAAGGCATTCGTTCTCAACGAGCTCTAATTGCAAATTGCGCGAATGTAGTGAAACACTTTCATCGATGTTGCGCAATTCGAGCAATACCTGCAGCAAAGATACGTTGATATTTATTGATCAGCAGAATCATCATCATCACCACAGTTTAATCGAAGATGACGACGATTCGTTTATGGGCAGTCGGCAACTTTGGGTATGTTGTACACATTAGTTGTCATATTGAATTCTAACTAAAATTATACATTTGCGTTGCTTACAGATTTCACCGGTAACACCACACAAACTAATAACGGTATCGCCCAAAAACTAAGTTGTCGCCGATCAGTGCGCCTTGCCCCTGCAGATATGCTATTGAATCCATTTAAATCGAAAGATATTTACAATTATTTTAAAGTTAAGAGTATAGTGACCAAATTTATATATAAATTATACACATTGTGTATATGCATTTCATATGTAAAATACGTATGCATGTGTGCTTTAGGTGACATTTAGTTATGTACAAACAAATGTCACGTGTGTATTCGACGCCTGAAAACCGCTTAGAGGCAAGCAAATGCAAAATGTACTAGCAATAGGAAATTTACAAAACATTATTGATAATTACCAGTGTATGTAGGAAAGTACAGTTAAAAAATTACTTTAAAAATACTCGTATACGTTGATTCCAAGCTGAGAAGTGTTGACTCTGTATTCAGTTGGCTTATTGATTGTTGCTACATTTTACACAAATTGAACGAAATGAAAGAGCTGTGGAAAAGTAATAACAGTTTGCTGTATATGAATATAATCTTAAGTGGTGGACAAGTAGCTGACATATACAATAGCTTTGCGAAAGCATGATAGCTTGTATTTGAATTTGAAAATGAAACACGATATAAGTACATATATTAACGCGAAAGCATGTTAATTATTAGAAAAGAAAAAACATTATATTATTTAGTGCTGTAAGCAAAATTTTATAAAATATGTTTATATTAATTATTATATAAAGCCGGGTACAAGACTATTGAAACAATAGCATTACGATACAGTTCATAGATATAAAAATGATTGCTTAGCCGAGTTTGTCCTTTGACTTAACGAACGACCGCTATTAGAAAATGAAATGCCTTTTCTCTGACGATCTTCAGTGTTTTCGCAGTGACACAGCGTCATACCTAAAGCATTTGAAATGCTGCTGTACATACATATGTACATATGTATGTTTGCGATTACCAACCTCCCAACTAATAGATAAGCTCAATTATAACTGAATATATTTTTAACTTAAAATGTATCACACATAGTGATTTCTGATATTTCGTCAACTTTTTATGTCATTAAAACTCCCACTGAACTATTTTTGTTTTGCATTGGAGATTATTTAAAAAGATAACAACGTATATCTTAAAGTATGCAGAATACATCATTTGGCAGTCAAACTCTGCAATCATAATTACCAAATATTTTTAACTTTTATTTTTCTGAACTCTACAATTTCGAGTAGCCTCCTTTATTTTTGTTGTGAATTTTACATGAAATGACGCAATAAATGCAATACCACTGTATGTACGAACGAAACGAAATAATTATGTAATTGTTACATAACATTATTATTAAAACTTGCATACATATATATCTATGTATGCGTAACTTAGCACCTTGCAATAAGCTAAAAACCAAATGTAACACTTCAAAGTAGATTTTAAATTAAAATCAAATATATAAATGAAGCATATAAGTATATATTAACATAAAATAATATTAAAGACTTTTGACTAAACTTTGTTTACATAAAGAGAAAGGTAATAATAACATTAATGTATTCATATATCTTTATTTATCAGAAATACGAGTAAAGTAAACGTTGTTAAAATGATGAAATCTATTTAAGGTGAGATGAATTGGAAATAAAAGTGAAAATACAAGCCAAATTAGAACAATGTTTTTGAATACCATTAATAGAAATGCTGAAAACGCATTTCCTAATTCTTATACCTTTTCCCATTTTAGTCTCGGTTCTTTAACTTTTTTACTTTTAAGTATAAACTCGCTTTAGCAATGTGAAGTAAGTATAGGAGGCATTCAGCAAGGACTGGAAAAGCTCCAGCGAAATGGGTTGAGTATTGCCCACCATTATCTGAAAGCAGCAAACACTAATGAATGTATTCATGTGTAGTTATTGAAATCCAAGTTTACCGCTGGCGGTTTTTGCGCACGCAAGATCATCAACAGAATATATTTTTGCACTGGTATCGGAAATGTGAACCATTCAGTGTCGTAGGCGGCGGCTGCGATAGCGAGATTCTGCGAACATAAAGTTAATAATAGAAAATAAGAAAAAACGTTAACTTCACTTGCACCGAAACAATAACACCCTTGACAAATACAAAAGATTCCAAACAAGAACTTGATATTGAACGGCCAGTTTGTTTGGCAGCTATATGCTATAATGATCAAAATTCCATATCGTTATCACAAAAACTGGGGGACTAGTTCATGTATATACGAACAGACAGACGGACTCTGTTCAGGGCCGAAAAATGTAAACAAATGCAATTGCGCAAATACCTGCTCGCGCAGTTCGTTCGCATACCAATACAACGAAAAAATCTGTGCAAATATCATGGCAATGTAAGCGCAAACTATAATCGCCTGAGCTGAGGAGTCAACCTAGAAAATAAATTAATAAAAAACTTAAAAAAAAAAGAAAATGTAAGCAACTTACAATGATCAGCAGGAACAGTAAGGCGCATAGCAGTGTGCCGAAGGCGAGGAATTCCAAGAGAAATATATAAGTCGTCAAAGCATTTACGCGCGTAATATAACTGTAAATGCATATACGCGTATTTAAAGCGTTAAATGCTATATTAAAAACTGTATTTACTCAATAATGCACAGCTGATAGCGTATGCATTCGCGTACGCTTTTTTGAATGAGCGGTTCAACGTGCCGCACGCGGTGCAACGTCTTCAACCGAAACTGTAGCGCCTTGCACATCACAATGCCGAACATGATGAAAGCGACAATCAGACTTGTGTAGGGAATGTACATGCAACAGCCCATGGGCGTAATTACCATTTGATACATATACCAGAACTCGTAGAACGGGCTTTTGTATTCCTCAACGCCAGGAATCATGCTGCCAAAGGGCAGAACTTTAACCCAACAAACAGCGAAATAGTGAGATAGTTGCAAAGCTTATATGTTAGTGGCAAATTGTCAAAAATGATGGAGCATACCTCTTTCAGTTGCAAAGAGCGGATAGAAACCAAAACCAAAGCAGGTAAGCAAACCAAGAAAGAGGTTACCCCGTGCCATGTATTTGCCTGTCGTGTTGACCTCCACCAGTAAGTCCTGTATATAACAATCCTTTGAGCGCTAAAGAAATTGTGCGAAAAGAGCAAAATATATATATATATATATACTTACATACATAGGCATAACCTGCATTACATAAACTGTATTTAAATATGGATTTAATTATCGTATGCCAAACTTCTTGCTTGATCCCAACAAGCCCGTTTCCCCATGAATATATATAAATACAAGTATATATACTTGTATATCCACACCCTCTCACGCTCTCACCTTCAAGTCATAGTAAAATTGTTCCAAATCGCTCAACAGCTTTTCGTACTTTTCCCGGTCGTACAGCAATAGGTACGCGCGAAGTATGGTATTGAACCATAAAACCAACATGTAAGAATTCCTTATAACTGAGTCGATACCTTCGCTGGTGCGGAACATATAGTAAAGCTGTGTGAAAACCAAAAAAGTCGTCATCGACAGGCAAACATAACGTCGCCAAGTGTGCTGATAGATCAGTGACCAAAAGCGTAAAATTCGCACGCTCATGTGGATCAATTGCAGATCGTCGAACATGCTGCTCACTTTGCCTTTTCTTCGGTTAGATAACTGCTTAAAGTATATTGTACAAGGAATTACCACTTTTCTAGACAGTTATTTGTTTTTATATGAAAATGTGTAATGCTGATGGCTGTTTGACCTTCCAGCGTTAATTTGGATTTAAACAATTTGGTGAAAATTATCCTAAGTATGATAAGTGTACGATAATTAAATGATGTTGCGGTTTGGAGTGGAGTTTCATGCAGCACTGAGAGAAATTTTTTCAAGTACTACTTTCAAATTTATTCAATTACATTTAGAACTTAAGAAAATAATAGTTAACTAGTCGCTATAACTCATTATATGGAAGATATTTTCGAAAGCATCATCATTTTCTTACTTTTTCATCGCTCTTGAATACTTTATACTCAATTTAGATTTGAGTTTAAGTTTTCAAAATTGCTGATACCAATGATTTTCCTCACTGTTATAATAATGTCAAAAAATTAAAAATTTCACCATATGTAAGAGAATATATATATGTACATATGCATACATAAGTATATCATATGCAAGAGCAGAATGTAATAGGCAATAACGAAAAATTCAAAGTCATGCAATTTAGTCCGGCAATTAAATTGATTATTGGGAAATTATGCTTGTTTAATATTAGATACTAATAGTGTCTAATTCAAACTGCCTTTTCCGCCCTTAACGCACTTGACTTTGTTCACATTATCACTACGACGAGTTTGAATTCGAACGTTGAATACTCAACAGGCGCTACTTTATAGTACATATTTCGAAAGTAAGCTACTCTCTTTATAAAAATAAACATATTTGTTGGTAATATCACCGCATTTAGAGCCCGAAGCGTGGTTGAAGATAACATAAGATAGGTTTGAAGATGAAAGTCGCTTAAGATAGACCTACGAACAGCACCGACGTTCACTGGCATATATTTGCCGAAGAAATATAAACAATATAGACTGCCCAGAACTGAAAGCATTTAGCTGGCGGCAGTAGAGAAAGATCAAATTTCCTCTGTTTCTAAACAGCAAGTGAAGAAGGAGTTAAATTAATCTGATGCTACAAATCATACCTTATCCAATTGTAAATCAATCAAGAATAAGAAGAACTAATCTCAGTCACAATTACCATACATTTTTAAGCATATTTTTAAGATGCGGATTTTGCTGGATTGATAGCGCTTGCACGGATAAAATTCAAAATCGCAGTGAAAGTAGATCCATAAACCTTGAAACACTTTTGTTCCAAACGGTATTAGTCGAAACGAACACTTTATATAACTTATATAATCTGATTCAGTACATGTTTTTAAAACCCCGGCCCAAATTAACATTTATAATATTTTTTTTATGGATTTCTCTTTATATTTAAATATTTGTTTGTTTAATTTTTCAGAAGATGTACTCAAAGTTTGTGGGTAACGATAAACAGAGACGATATACATAAATACTTTTAAACAGCACTGTCAGTAGAACGAAAACTCAGGTGACAATTTAAAGCGGCGTTTTTCTTCACTCGGTAAAAGACAATAAAGTAGCCCCGTATTAAGATACCACATAATACATATTCACATACATATATATATATAAATATTCCAACGTCATATGGAGGATGTAGTTATTATGTACGCGTACTCGTACTTAGCACCAACGAAGAAAGTTCACAAAGAAATAGAAGAATTTCTCTTTGAAGCCAAAAGAAATGAGCGCAAGTAAGAAAACTCCATCAGACTCAGGCCAACTCAAAGCGCCTCAGCCTATGGCATTGGCATTGACAAAGAGACATTGGAAGCCAACGCATTGGTTGATGAGATGGAATTCCATGCCTGACAAGCGGTTTCTTGTTGTTGCGCTGTTGCGCCACATCCAGAGGTTCAATGTTTAGCTTACTCATATTAATATTTTAGTTGAGTGGCTGCTTTCGACGGAACTTGTTCTACTTTCTGTAATAAACGGAATTATAAGCGACGAAGTGCTTTTAAAATTCAAGGAAAAGTGTTTGAGTTGAACAGTTACAACTATAAGAGGTGCAACTGAAATCAAGATAAATAACTGTGTAAATAAGTAAATAGAATTGGTAAAGTTTTTGAAGTGCCTAGTTCGGGGAATTCGGAAAGTTCATCTGATGGATTATCGTTTGTTATTGGTAGGTTATTCAATTAATTCTCATTTTTGATAGGTAAAAAGTTTTTTTTCTATTTTATTTTATTTTTGTGCATTTTTGTTGTTTTCGTACGCATAGAAGCATAGTAATGCAGATTTTTGTGGAGCTGCATGTATGTACATATGTATGTATGTGTGGGGATTAGTGATTTCCTTAACATGTTCTAGATGCTTGTCCCGTTTTTCCATAATTTAGCATAGCAACAATAACAACAATGCAATAAATGTGCAAGGTAATTAACTTTGCACTCTTTCTGCCTTTTTTTCTACTTGCTACTTTCATGCGAGCAGCATTGTTGGTTGAAGTTTGTGGCTCAACTCTTTAGTTCTAACATATGCAGAGTTCAAAACAACCAATGCTACTGTGAGCAAGAAAATTTCTTATGAACATGTACATATGTAAATGTGTGCGTATGTACGAACAGTTGCTAGCGTCGACACTTGTTGCATGTAAGCATTTTGCTGCGCGTTGGTGAATAATTACAAATGGGTCATTGTTTTTAAGAATACTAACAATAGTAGTAAAAATGTAAATTTCCGCTAAACTTTGCCTAGCGGTAAATTTTGCAAGTTCAATAGTTGCGAAAGTATTAAAATGATAAATAGCTCGAAACTCTCGGAAGATTTTAGGTAGAAGCGAGCATTGACGCTATTGAAAATTCGAAAAGCAAATAGTAAAAGCAAGCCAGTTTCCCGTTATTTACCTATAGAAATGTATGTATTTAGAACGATTCTTCCCAGATTGCTGCGTACGCATCGCTCATCTTGTTTATGCTTACCGTATGACACAGTCGCTTCGATTTACCGATACACCATTGTACATACATACATACATACGTATGTATATTAGTATAACTTAGCATGTCTGTATGTATGCGTCTGTTGTTTAGTGGCACTGCTACACATGCATGCCCGAGATATGGGAACAAAAATATTTGTAAGACTTTGTATGGAGATATTTATATGAACGCCACGTCTTTTTTCGTTGCTAAAAAGTCGGTCACGACGTGCCGTTGCTTTCTTTTTGCGTCTCTCCGAATTATTTGAATGCGTTCTTTCTGACACCTTGGCAGCCGCGCACCGCTTTGACCCCGCGAAAAAGTAAACAAATTAATTACGAAATAAACAGTGGCTGACAGTCGTTATGGGCATTTTGGCAAGTGGTTAACCGTTAACCGTAATCCCACACACAAACATATTTAATTTACCTAAGAACGACATACCAACTAAAGCACGAAATTCATAACAGTACTTCCATCTCCCGCTGTAACTCGCTCGCTTACTCATTCACTCGTTCAATTTATTTTCAAAACTTTCATTAATTTTTTTTAATGAAATTTATTCGAATAGCATCTATCGAAGCCGTGTGTATTTGAAACAAGCTCCGCGCTCTTGTAGCATTTACATTTCTGTGTTAGTGTAGCGGCAGCATGCGGTTGAATGTTGAAGCAACCAACAACAACTCAGCAATAAAGCGGCAATGTGTCAAGGTGCTGTTCATTGTGTTATGCTTGAGCAGGCCGCACCGCACCACGTAGAATCCGAGTGTTGACGTCTGACCTAATTCAGCTGTTTTGGTATGCAAACCGAGAGTAGCATAGTTCGCTTAATGCCGTGCAATCTCGCTCGCGCCCTAACCGCTGCTGCTGCTGCTTCTGTCCACTCCCTGCGCACTGAAGTGACACAAATGTTGACTGTGTCGCACGCATTTATGAGTTAAAAAAAAATGTTTATTTCCAAAAATCCCGTCATCTTAATCACAACAACAACAATAACAATAACCACAACGGTAAAACTAACTGTGTTGATAGGAAATGAAAGGGAAGAAATCAGTTACAGTGGCTGTGTAATTATGTGTAGCGTGAAGAAAGTATCAAATCAGCCGTGATCGTTTGCTTGGCCCTTGAAAGGTCAAAGAAACCAACGAACATTCTTTGCCAGCAGCTACTATGTACATACATACATGTAAAGAGGAAAGAGTGCGCTTTCAAGTGGAAGTCGTTGAAATAGTGGAGGGTTACTTTTGATTTCACTTACCCACTGAAAAATGTGAATAAATCTCTAATGGATTCTAGCTAATAAGCTAAAGTGAAAGGAAAGTTTTCTTTGTGTATTATGTGTGTATGTATTGAAATGTGTTTTCTTTAAAAAAAAGTGGTACTACATTAGATGATACAATTTTGAAATAAAAGTAGAAAAAACGTTAGCTTCGACTGACGTTCGAAGTGCTTTTCTTATAACAGAAAAGGGTATTAAACGATTTTTATTTCCATTTGGATCGGTCAATTTGTATAGTAGCTATATGTTATAGTGGGTCCGTTCTGAACTATTTGTTCGGAGATTGTAGCGCTGTTTAGACAGTAATCTATGCCAAATTGCGTGAAGATATCTGGTCAAATAAAAAGTTTTCTATACAAGCACTTGATTTTGTTCGATTGGTTTGTAAGGTAGCTATATGCTATCGGCGTTTCTGACAAATGAATAGGACGTGTGCAAAATTTCAGATCGAATTCTCGAAAACTGAGGGACTAGTTCGCGTATATACAGACAGTTATGACTAAATCGACTCAACTCGTCTTTTTTATAATTTATATATATATGTATGTATATGTTAGTGTTAGATTACTTGGTTTTGTGAAAATGTAAGATATAGTTCTATAAAATTATTGAATAGAATTAATGAGGAAAAAATGAAAGTTGATCGTGAATATTCTGAGAGGCCTAAAAGCGTTTTAAATTCCTTATGTAAGGTCAGTAGGATTGAGTTGCAGACGATATGTCATCGCGGAAATAATTAATAACAATTCTAAAGTTGTTCTTATTCAATTTAGAGATACTTAGGTTGAAAATACTTGATGAGGGATCGAATACAGAAAATAATTTTGTTATCATTTTCAGTTTAAAGAAAGATCTTGCACGTTTCCTTTAGGGTGTTATCAACTTCGTGGTAAACTTAATATACCCTATTCAGGGAATAAAATTAAATAAATATTTGAGTGTTTTAGGCTGGTTGTATTTTTTAGTTGTTATTAAGATAAGAATTTGGTTTATAAATAATAAATCCTGGCAAACAAAATTGTAGCTTAGAAGAACAGTATGTTATTGGATTTTAAAGAATATTTCTCTACAAAATATTATATTATATATTATAAACTTTTATGTTACTGAAAGCCAGTGAATATTTAAACTTTTTTATCGGATAGTTTACAACGAGTTGTGGTGGTAAAAATACACTTGCTTCAAGAAGAGACCCCAAAATTTAGAAAATACCACGAAAAACCTTATCAATATTTGTATACATTTTTAATTTTTTCAAATTTACTATTATATCATTCTTTATTTAGTTTTGTAAATAACTAATGATCAGCAATTCCCATTAATCACGTTTAGCCAATTTCATGCTTAGTTTATAGTTTTAATTACATGTAAACAAATCGGTTGTCAATGAAAGAAAAAGTTAATTAAGAGAGTTAATGAATCTTCTGAAAATACCAAAACAGGCCGCGACATGTGAAAGTAGAAATTTCTAAAATAAAAAATTACATTTCTTATTTTATTTATTTTCTTTTATTACGAAAATAGTGAGATTATAGAGATGTACAACAATAAGAGAACAAAAGTATCATGTGATGGCAAAATAAAGACCTAAACTATTGAAAAAGAAAAGCCGTAAAAATTACTAGTTTTTCGACTAAGTATATGCACGAGTACATACACACATATGTATATAGTCATTCTTTACCGAAAAACTTAAAGTGCAAGTAAAATTAGTAATTACTTGTTACAACAAAAAGACCTTTTCTATAATATCTTTTCTGTTTGACAAAAAATCCAACCAACATAATTGGCAAAAATAAATATGTAAAATACATACATACAAGTAGTTGTCTATACAACATAACAGTGTAGCTGTCGACATTAGCAACTAAGCAACAGTTAATGTGAAATACATTTTATAAACATACGTACATACATAATCAACAATAAATGTCATTTATCTCATACAATAAACTGCCAACAATTAATTTTTGGCGAAAGTTAATGTTTGTGTTAATTTTTGTTCGACAGAAACGACATATCGTGGAAAAAGGTTCAATTGAAACTGAACTCTTTAGATGACTTCAGACACTTTCATTGTCATTGTGATTGTGTTATTTTTAACTTTTATTTTTTCATTTTTCTTTTTTGTGTTTTCTTTTTCGTTTTTTGTTGGTTTCTGTTTTTGTTCTTCTCGAACGAGAGTTGTCTGAAGTAGAATTGGAAGTGAAAGAGCATGCCTTCGTTAATAAAATCATACATACACACAATATGTACATACTCTTAAAAGCATTCATATATACCCCTATAAGTATGTACACATACACCTATATTTATATTTAATAACAATTTATTTGTAATCCAAAAGTAACTGTACTCATTGTATTCGCTCACCATTCCACTATGGGTGATGGAAAAAGTGCCGAAAAGTGCCGAAATGTCGAATAATTTTGTAAATGGGCGTAACCCTACTACTGCCATGCCCACACAACGCCAATAATCGTCATAACTGCAATCCATTCTCGATTTTGATTTTGCTGCAATCTCTGAAGAAATTATTCAGATTGGACCACTAGAGCATATCGCTGCCATACAAACTAACAACTATATGCTACAGAGTCCGATTTGACCAATTTAAAAAGGTGTCATTGACTCCATAAAATGTAAACAAAGGGCAATTCTTAACAAAGGTTGTTGACTTCGCTAAATCTAAAATAGGTTGTGAACTTGGCTAAATTTAGCCAAAGGTTGTGGACTTGGCTAAATGTAAACAAAAAGTTCATTGACCTCATAAAATGTAAACAAAGG